TGTAAACCTTCCTCTGTTCTCTTCTCTGCCTCCACTATCGTGCATAAGGTTCTAAAACCCTAGGTAGACTTAATACATATATTTATAGGCAAAACTAAACCTAGTCCAATTATATTAAGAAATGGAGAACTAAGTCGTCTAACCCTAAATTCATAAAAGAAAACCCTAAACTATACGACATATAATTAGTCCACTTAAGCATATATGTAACTAAAATAAATTAATCAAAGAAACAATTAAATAAAACAATTAACAATTAATTAAAAGAAATAAACAATTAATTAAAACAAATAAAAAATTATCAATTAATTAAAAGAAATAAATAATTAAACAATTAACACAAAGAAAACAACCAATTAACAATTAAGCAAATAAACAAATAATCAACTAAAAACGCTAAGAACAAGAAAACAATAATAAAAAATGCCGAGACTATCCTTTTTAATATGAGGGGTATTACAATATACTACACTCCGAAATGATGAGAACAATGTTTTAGGAAGATTGAGAGGTAGTGAGAACACATTGGGAGAGATTTGAAAGTTTTTGAGGAAGATTTTACATTCTGTCCATTTAAAACTGGTTCCCAAAAGGACTGAACAGGTTCAAGATCAGCAGAGTTGAAAAATTCAAGACTGGCCATCTTGAACCAGTTCCTAAAAGTACTGAACAGGTTTAAGAGTCAAAAAAAGCCTTCGAAATTGTTTATGGCCTTCTTGAACCGGTTCCCACTTTCTTGAACTGGTTCAAGACTCCTGAAAGGTTATGGAAACTTATTTGATTCCTTTTTGTACTAGACTTCTTTCCAAGTCCTATGCACGAAATTTATCATATTTTCTGAGGGATTAGGACTTTCTAAACTCTATATAAACCTTGTCATACACATTGGTTTATTCTTGGCTTTAGGGATCATCAATTATATATTTTGAGAAAGCCTTTTAGAGAGAGAAAATTTAAAAAATTAAATTTGATTATTCTGAATTTATTTTTGAGAGCACACATATATATTCATGATTTATTTTGTTATGTTGTTCTCTATCTCATCAAAATTAGATCTATATTGAAGATTCAGATATTCCAGATGAAAAACAGGATTTAATTCTTCTACAATCGAGTTCAGATCTTGAAGAACAGAAGTAAAAGCGATCACACTTTGAAAGGGTTGGAGCATTTGTGGAGTGTTGTCTGATCCACCTACTACTCTCCTACAAATATCAAGCATAAGTCTGAGGTCAAGTTGTTGTTGGACGGGGAGTCGCAAAGCCAGAGGATTGTCAGCAATTAGTGTTTGGTAGAACGATAGGGTGTAAGCCAGAGTCAAAGTTCGGTGTACTTTGTTTCAAACATAGTGGATCGGTTTACTTTGGACTGAATAGTCCATGAGGTTTTTCCCATGCAAATAGTTGACGTATTTTATCAACTGGGGTTTCCTCGCTAAAAATCCTGGTGCAATCTCTTTAAACTTTTACTTGCTTTACTTTACAGTATTTATATTTGTGATTGTGGATGTTTAAATTTATCATATACTTTAATCAATCATAAATTGAGCAAGTGGACTTAATAATCAGATCTAGGTCATTAAAGGAGTTAATCACAATTAAAATCAACTAACTGTTTTCGCACCCCGCATAACTTTCTTTTCACAGAGCAAATTGCAAGTACTCTTTCTCGTTAAGAGGAGGAGGAAGAGGCAAATGAATAAATGGCAAAAACTTCAATTTATATAGATGAGGATGAGAAGAATGACGAGGAAGAAGTAGCAAGTGAGCAATTTGAGGAATTGGTGAGTCCACCAATGGCTAATCCAATAGAGAACAACATGACTTATGAGGATTTTCCTTATTTTGATCATGATCTTATTCTGGCCTTTAATAATTTAGAGAGTAAGGAGATGTTGACCACTATAGAGGTAGAGGAGAGAAAGGATGAACTTGAAGAAAATCTTCCTTCTATTCTCTTCAAGGACCTTCTTGAGGAGTGCCTTTTGGAAATGTATGAAAATTGTGCTTTTGACATTGAAAGCTCTATAGATGAAGTGAACTCTCTAATGGACTTCGTGGCTATCTTAAAGGGTGAGAAGATGATGATTTTTTAGGAAGAGAAAAAGGATGAAGAAAGGGTATTTCTTAATATTCCAAATGAGTATTTGAAAGACATTATTGATTTTGTTTTCAAGACCATGTATAAAAGGAACGAAATCATCTCTTTCATTTCTTTTCAAGTTATTCTTTTGGAGGATGATTTCATTGTTGTAAGTGAGGCATTAAATGAGAAAATTGAAAAGAGGGTCAATGAGGATGTTTTATATCCCGTTTTTGATACTTTCGACTAGTCAGTCGAACCAACGTCTTGCTAGAGATGTTAAACACTATCATTCGTAGAGTTTTCAACTTTATTCCTCTCCCATTACTTTTTATTTTTCACTTCTTGCGGCGTTTAGATATGTTACATTGCGCTTCATTAAAGATTTCACGTATGTTAGGCATTGGAAAAAATTCTGCCTTAGGAAAAAGTGCCAAAAGTTCCAAAAATTTTCCAAAAATGTTTCTGTCGAGTGCTAGTTTGATCAATCATCTCTTTTCTCGATCAATCGACGCTTTCTCACGATCCTTCGAAACAGTTGTCAATCGATCCCTGAAATTGGCGATCAATCGCCAACCATGTCGGAAAATTAATAGCCTAGGGGCATCTTTCATAGAATTTACGATCGATCGAGCACTATTCATAAAAATAAAATAAAAAAAATTTCTTTATTTCCTTGCATTTTCATTCCTTGCATGTTTTTTTTTTTTTTTTTTTTTTTTTTTTTTTTTTTTTTTTTTTTTTTGTATGCATACTTGAAAAAAAAAAAAAAAAACAACAATCTTTCAAAATTGCCACACTGTCTTATTAGAGATGTTAAACTTAGCACCCACAAGACACATTATGTTTTTTATCTCCTGTATATTGTATGTTTACTTTCATTTCCATTTTCTTTATTTTTCTTTCATTTTGTTTCTTTACATGCTTTCATAAAAAATAAAAAATAAAATATTTCACCATCGTGCCCTTATGTGTAGTCATGTTACTTTCATGTTTATTCTAGAGGTTGATCTCATATCTCTCTTTCATCTTATGCTATATTGCCTTAGAATGCTTGTTTGTTTATTCTTATCCCATTTGACATTTGATGTGAGTTTGCTAATGTGATTATTCAAGTAGGTTATGGATTCCAAGTTTGGGGGTGCATTCTCTCCTAATGAATCATTACCGGGTTTCATGTCTTTGCCACCACAATATATTCTTTCCATCTTTTCCATTGTTCTCATTGCACATTGAGGACGTACAATGGGCGCTTTAAGTTTAGGGGTAAGGTGACTTTGTTGTATTCTATTTAAAGTTTTGATCTTTAAATGCATGATTGAGATTTGAGATCGATATTTGCGATGATTTTGATCTTTTGAGGATCATGATACTTAGAATTTAAAAATTGCTTGACTTGTGAGTTCAATACTCCTTGTATGCTTTTTGGATGTCATTTTGGGGCAAATTATTCAAAAGATTGATTTCATGCTTGCTTATGTGATCCACATCATCTTATTTGTGAGATTGTTTTGAGATTCATCTCTATAGTTCTACACTTGCACATATGCACGCTAACATTCATTTGTGGGGTACATGCTTAGTTGATCATTGCTTTGGTTATATCCCAATTGAGCTAGTAAACTTTGAAAACTTTCATTCTTGACAAGATAACCTTGCATGCTAATAACAAACCTTTCACCGAGTAACCAGGATTCTAGCCTTATCAAGCATTAAACTCTCGTATTTAAAAGTGAAGGGCCCACACAATAGTTCCAAGAAAAAAAAAAAAAAAAAAAAAAAAAAAAAAAAAAAAAAGAAGAAGAAAAAGAAATTTGCAAAAGCAAATAAAGTGAGCACTTCTCACCAACGGTGGAAGTAAGGAAATGACATGACGAGAGTTGTTTTGATTTGTAACCTAGTTGATTTGAGCTTGTAAGTCCTTAGGGGTGTTTTTACACCTAATGCCCTAAAGCCGTCCGATTTGAGAGTCATTGACCTAATGCTTGTTAAATGGATCTTTTAAAGAGCTTAAAAGATCACTATATTGCACCATACTCTTGTCTTTGATCCCATTAAAAAAAAAAAAAAAAAAAAAATGTGCAAAAGAAAAACAAAGAGAGCATGTAGGAAATAAATTAGAATAAAGAGGTTCGTTCTTTGTCTTGATGATTGGTACTTGATTTGTGCGCTAGTTTGAGACCGGTTGTGCCCATTTCAGTGATTTGCTAAGATAGGAACATATTTAATGCCGGTTCACTCAAAAGGATGCTATAGTTGATTTGATTTGCATGATTATTTTACTTGATGTGTGGATGACCATAATTGCTTACTTATTTTTGGAAGTTTGAAAATTGCTTAGAGATGGTTGAAAAATGGCATACTTAAAGTAATTTTCTTTCAATGCTTATTTGGAATGTTAGTGCCTCTTAAGTGAGAAAGAGCTTAATATTTATGGGTATGATTTCTGGAAACCCTCATGAGACTTCAATCGTCCATTAGGGGTAACCTAAGGGTTTAAAAGGCTTGTTACATATGATAATTGCAATCGTGTTCCTGTAACGACCCGGATTTCTCAACCCGGTGCGTTAGTGATGAACCGGAAGTTGACCCTATAACGGACCCGAAATGCGGAAGCGAAAGAAGCCAAATGACCTCAAGAGATGTACGTCATCCCTAAGGCCCCAAAATGACTCTCCATGAAGCCACGGAACTCAAATGAGCCAAGCAAATGAAGCAAGAATGCCTAACCCGAAAAGAGATGAACTAAGGGCAAAATGGTCATTTCTCACTGAAAAGGGTGCCACCGTGCACACCATTGGAAGGACAATGAAAAATGAACAAAATTAGACTCAAGAATCATCTGATTCTGAGTCCGGGCAGAAAAGATATGAAATTCCAACACCCGATGCGAAAGTTATGAAGTAATGACTTAACATTTTCCAATATTTTCATAATAAACTTTGAAAACAAAAGTGCATAGAAAACGAGATACATGTCATTGGCCTCCGGTCTCATCTCATACATATTAAATACATTGAAAAGAATGCACTTACGTACACTTTACATATACAAATCAACGAATACAAGTTTAAACAAATAGGGCTACAAAGAGGCATCTTATGCTAACACTTGCTTAAAATAAAAACATAGAAACTGTAAGCCATCCAAGGAGCAATGGAATCTTCAAATCCTGAGTCTTGTACCTGAAATATACCCCAGTATCGTAGGGATGAGTAACATAAAGCTACTCGTAGGAGATGAGCATGCATCGACCTAGCATTTTACAATTTTATCACCTTATAGTGAAACATGTTAAAGGGGCTCATGCCACCTAACGTCTATGTCAAGATGAGACCTTGGGAGAATCCTAAGCTACCTAGATCATTTATATCATAATCACATTGTTCATGCAATTTAAACAACATGGAAACATGTTATATAAGGCAACAAGATATAGATTCTCAAAGTCTTCAACTTGAAATCCAAAATACGAAAACAACAAGTGTGGGTCATGCCACCTAACATCTATGTTCAAAATGAATCTATAAGGTCATTCCTAAACTACATTTGAACATCAAAACACAAATTATGATATCGATGCAATTTAACCAATAATGGAACTTCCAATACAACGCATGAAGCATGCTTTCACAAAGCTACATCATAAGCTCAAAATAGGAAATCAAATAAGGAACAACAAGTTACGATATCATCTAGTTATCAACTTGAAATGAAATACGAAATCAAACAAAGTGGATACTCGGACGTCACGCCGGATCAGACCGACAACATAGTTACTTTAGAGTTACTAGCCCATGGGTAACCTCCCTATGTGCGCACTAGACTGTATAGAGGGACAATCCCCCGTACTAGAACTAAGTCCTAGCCGTAGCCAAACAACGACATCCCCAAGTTTCCAAAAACAACAAATTGTGCAACAACGTATATATATCAACATGTATATACAAGATATCAACTATTTACCAAGCACAATCCAAATTTTGGAAACTTATACAATACATGCTCAAAATTCACAACTACTATGGCATGTAAGATGTCAAATACAAAGTGTGCAATTCCTTACACATAGCAACAATATATTCAATAAGGTAAAACATATTCTCATGAATATAAAAGTAACAGCTATGTTATCAAATGTTCAAAAGTAATCAAGTGAACATACATCAAATCCAAATCCATGATTTAAATATAGAAACAATTTCCAAAATGCAATTAAATCCATGGAGTAATAAAGTAGAATTTAATTAAACATAAATAGTTAAATTCTCTAAATTTCAAGTTAATCCAAATAGCGTCAATTTAATATATATTGAAAGACATGTCATGGTCATCATATATATAACATTAAATGACAAGTTAAGTGATTAAAACACTTAAAACAAAATTAATCAAGCTAATTAATTAACTTCCTCTAGATTTTTAAACAATTCCAAATGCTCTCAATTTAATCTATGTTAGAAAACATGCTAAGGCCTATTTAAATACCACATTATAACTTGATTTAATGCTTGATACAACCATGTGAATTAAACTTTCACTAAAAATAAATATTAAATAAAAGTTGTAATTCTTAATCAAATGATCCAAATTTAATATATGTTAACCAACATATATAAGCATAATTTCCTAGCATGTTACAATTCAAATCAAAGTTATACATCATCATAAATTTTAAATCTTATACAAAGAAATAAAAATTACTAACTTTCTAGATTTGATACAAAGCATACATATATGTTGTATAATCATGGCAAACACACAATACAACACACAAACAATCCTAAAACATTCCCTACCTCAATTGGAATGAAAATTCCAATTACCACCGAAATGAAATCGCCCCAAATTTTCGGTCCGCAAAACAGATTTTTTCAGCTTGCTACCTTCAACTTGTAAAATTCATAAAAAATTCAATTCTAACCCAAATTGAATAAATCCAAAGCCCAATGAAATCTTAAATACTATAATTTGATAATATCAATTTAGTTTAGCAAAATATTTTCCCAATTGAAACAGTTTTCACCCACAACTTTGAAACAAATTCTGCCCAGAAAACACATTTTCAGCCTGTAGCTTCCAAATTTGAAAATTCATGAAAAATTCATTTGACATCCAAATTGGGCAAACCTAATTTATTTTGGAAGTAAACATATGAGAGTGTAAAACTGAAAATTTAAGCCATGATCCAATGTCAAAAGGTTAGTGAAATAAATCATCTAAAAATATGTTTTCCAGCTGTAATAAAAACATGGACAACAGATAGTTTTGAATTTTTAAAAACATTTAGAAATGCTCTAAAATCGTGAAAAAATTCTGAGTAGTGTAAAACCCATGGGGGAAGTTCCAGTAAAAATTTCTAGGCAATTAAATCACCACAGCTCCATATAAAAATTTATTTCCGGACCAAAAAGGAAAAGCTTCAGCAACTAGCTTGCAACTTCAAAAATTCATAACTAATTCATTTTAAATCCAAATTACATGAAAACAAAACTAAATGAAAGCTAATTGAGTATATTTTCATATTCTATATTTAATTTAACAAGATTAATTTCAAGTTAAAACAATTTAAGGGCAAAATACAAGTCCTTCTCTTCCATGCATGTAAAACACTCAATAATGACATAAAAATACTTCAAAATAATAGATCAATACCTCACTAGAGAATTGAATCTCTAGATACCAAAGCAAAACTAGGAGTTAGGCTAGATCCTTCAAGGGTTTTAAGGAGGTGGATGAGGGGAACAAAAAGTATTCCAAGTTCAAAGTTCTAAGGTGAGTGAAAGGGCACCAAAAATGAAGTCAAAGCTACTAGTCAAGCTTTTCTCCAATGGTGGCTTCCTTAGGGTTCTTGAGAGGAAAGTGATGAATGAATTAAAATGTGTAAACCCTAAGCTAAATTGGTGGGCTTCTCCACTCACTAGGTGCTCTTGCACTACCTCTCACACACACACTAATGCAAGACTAAAGGTGAGTTCTACACTTGTCATGAATCCAAGTAAGCTTCCAAGATTAAATATTAACCCTACACTTGTCAACCATCCATGCCAACAAGTGCATCAATCCTAGGACAACAAGTGGGTGAATCTCCACCCTCCATGTGTCATGAGATTAAGCCTCCAAGTGGTTCCACCAAAAAATCAACAAGTGGCACCATAGGAATGTGACACTTGTCACATTTTCCAAAAATTGCAAAAAGGTCCTTTTTAGAAATATCTTCCAATTTAATTTGTAAAATGGTCCCTAAGACAAAAAATAATTACTTTACTTAATTACCCAAAAACCCCTCAAGTTATGGATAATTGCAAAAAGTCTTATTTTCATAACTTTTACAAAGAAAGTAAACATTTAATATGCATTTCTATAAAAGTAAAAATGTAGATGTCATGGAATTTAAATATCATGAACGTATGCAAAACCGGAATCAAATCAGAGCACAAAAAATGAGGTTATGCAAGTAAAAGTGAAAAACGAGAAGAGGACAAAATAAGGAAAAGACGAAAAATGAATAGTGTCAAAAAACAAAAAAATGTGGAAATGACTCGGTCCTCAAAGGAAGTTGTCAATCCAAAGGAAAGAGTCTCAGAAACCATTTCCGAGCACTCTAGACGACATTAAGAGGCAGGAAATCGAACCCAAAAAGGAAAAGATAATGAAAAAAAAATTTATCCGCAAAATTTGAAGAAAAAGGGAAAAGGAAGAAAATAACCAGGTCATTACAGTTCCCTACGAAAGTGGCGTTATCCATTTATTGCTTTCTAGTTCATAGTTGTTTATTTCTTCATTTCTTTCTTTACTTAGTATTTCATTGCTAGAGAATAACAATATCTAAGTTTGGGGGTGTGATAAGTGCTCAAATGTTGCACATTTTAGCACCTAAGTCAGGGTATTTTAGTTCACTCATCTATCTTACTTTCCCATTTTAGTTCTAATTTGTGTTTTTGTCTATTTCAGAACAATAAGGTTCAAATGAACTAAAAATGGGTTATTAAAGCCTTTTTGGAGTCAAGCAAATGCATCAAGAAAATTCAAAAAAAGTTGTAAAAATTTACCCTGGAGCAGTTTCGATCGATCGAAGCTTCAACCACGATCAATCAAAAGTTGGCGATCCTTCGCAGCCACGTCAGCAAAGGGATAAGACTGCCACCTCATCCTTTGACCAAATTGGCAATCGATCGAAGACTTTTACGATCGATCGTAGTGCCATGTCAGCGTAAGCTCAGCAATCCGGATAAAACTAAACAAATATTTTCATGCCACGTCATTCTGGATTGATCGAAGCTATTCACGATCCATCGAGAATATGCTGGCAATGAGCTGTTTTATTCCCATGTTGGCCCAAACTTCACCTACCCTATGGCTGCGGGATTGAACCAATTAGAAGGCCATTTTTTGACTTGTTGCCTACTCAAAGGGACTTATAATTAAATAAAATTAAACCATTTGTTAGGGGTTCACATACACCTTTAAATAGTATTATTTTACATTGTAATTTTATATTCTCTCTCTAGAAAAGTTAGAGATTAGGGTTTTAGGAAAAGAAGAGAGTGGAGACACCAAGAACACACTTGAAGATCTACACACTCTCTCTGTAGAATTCATCAAAGAAGAAAAGGAAGAAGATAGAGCCATGTTTGGAGATAGCCGTTGAGGGTTCCATGACCACATCGACTTCTTCCATGATTGGCTAGGCTTCTCTTTGGGGTTTGGATGAACCCCAAGCTTGTAATCTAAACCCTTTCTCTTGACTTTTTGGGAAAATTATCTTTTGATTAGTGCTATAGCCTTGTGTATAAAATGAATCTTGGTTTATCTCTATGATTTCTATGGTTTAATTCTTCCTATTAATTCTCTAGATTAGTTGCATGTCTATGTGTAATTAATTGAGGATTATATATCTATGATTCATATGGTTTAATTCTTCCTATTGATTCTCCTTGTGATTACATGTTGTCTTATGTGCGATTATTTGGGAATTGATCTCTACACTAGATTCTCTATGTTGGTTGTATGTCTATGTGTGATTAATTATGGATCTAGTGATGGCTATACATGGTTTTCATTGAATGAATTTGTCAATTAATTTGATGGATTATTCTTATGCTTAATGGATTATTTTACAATTTAATTTATGTTTATAGGTAGGTAGATAATCTATGCTTGATTTGATATTCTATGGCTTATTGTTGCAAATTCCATAATTCTCTAAATTGATGTATGCTACAATTGTGACTAGTTTGATGGGTCATACTTAGAATTGATGGGTTGTTCTACACTTAATTTATTTATTGGTTAGGTAGACAATTCATACTTGAATTTGATAGTCCATGCTGAATATTGCAATTAGTAGTCGTATTTTGTTCACAAGAATGTTTTCCCCAATTAGTTAAAAGTGTCTGGTTTGGTGAATGAGTTTAGTGGTGATTCCAACACTCTAAGACCTCTCTTCTTACCATTCAAATCCCTATCTCAATTTAGTTTACTTTAATTGCATTTTAATTCCATTGCACCTTAGTTTAATCAATCAATCCCCCTTGCAATCTTGTGATCCACTAGAGTTGAAGTTAAATTCCAACTACGTGTTTAGTCCCTGCGGACAATCCCTACTCGTTATGCCTCATTAGTTGTAGTAGTGGTTTTATAAATGTAAATTTGACTAGAAAGGCTTCCGAAACCACAATCATATTTTGACCTTGCAAAGCGACCTCTCGCATTAAAAAGCACAATTTTTCTCATCAAAGGAAAAAGGAAGGGGGTCGGTCATGATGTTTCATTTGAATTAATCCAAAATCTAGAGATTGTCATGTATAGTGATTATTTTAATCTAGTGATTTTCTATCAGTAAGGATTCCTTGAATTGTGTATAAAGCATGCCTATAAATTGTTGGATAGTAAATGTTATGTTGATGTTTAGATGAAGACTTGAACTTGTTATGTAATAAAATTAGTGTATTTCATAAGTTGACATGCTTATTGTAGCTTAGGGAATTACATTGAAAACTTGTTGTGATACAGTTCTTGTCTGTGAATTTTAGTATTAGTGTACCACCATGACTTTAGGAGCATGGTGTCATCATTACATTGTCTTGAGGTTTAAGTTGTGTATGCATGACATACATAGCAAGTGTGAAGGATGGACGCCATCCGAAAGTTGAAATTAGTGGACAACGCATCCAGTGGGTGAAAGGTCCCATGGAACATTGGCCAATGGGGTGTGCAAGTGCCCCAATCTCGTTTTCATGTCCAGGGATTTGATTCTGGCATTGTTTTCGTTATGTTGTGTTGTGGAGTCACATGTGTGAGTTGCATCATAGTGGAGTCTATGTGTCAGCTACTTGGTAGTTCTTGGAGTGATGTATACTTGTTATCGTACTAGCTTTGTGGTAGTCCTTGTTACAAGTATACCTTTATTGTTTGATTTTGCTTTCATTTACAAGTTAACATTACTTTTGAAGTTGTAGTTTGTTGATTTTACTTGTTGTGAATGGCTTATACCATGTTTCAAATATAGCTTTAGGGTGTCCTTTAGCTTCCCTTTGAACATAGATGTTAAGTGGCATGAACCTTGTGGATTCAGTTTATATTGAACTTGCAAATTCATTAAAACTTTAAGTTATACGTATATGTTTTTCCTACGAGTAATGCTAGTTATTCACCCCGCTGATTGCGATTTTTTAGGTAAGGAGACGTTGTTTTGGGATGAACAACATCCTTAGGTTGGCTTAGTTATATTGATGTCTTTTTATGTAATTTTGCACATTTACCAATGTTAGCATGTTTAAGTTTCACTTTTGAAGTTGTAATGCTTAGCTTTGTTTTGACATGTCGTTTTTACTTTGGGATGTGTAACGTGTATCTAAGTACACTTTTCAAAACTCTTTTATATGTATGACATGTGGCCAAGGCCAAACATCTTTTAATTTGCAATTATGCTCTTTTGATTCCATGTTTTACTTTAAGGCAATTTTACAAATTTGGAGGCAGCGGGCCATTGTAGCACGTGTAAAAATGCATATTACATTTACATGTATGTTCACTTTGTACACAATATCACATTTGCATGAAATGGATGTTTCTAGACTTAAGTGTTTTCACTTTTATGCAAAATATGAGCATAAGGGCATTTTGTGTATTTCACTTGAATAAGGATTTCCTTTGACATGGTCACCTAGAAAATATGATTTTAGGGGGGGTTTCTTCACAACTTTTTTTCCCAAAAAAATCCATTTTGGGTTCAAAAATCACTCGCAGCCGTGGAATTTCTAGTGCAGTAGCCCTGTTTTGTAGTCTACGATGGATGGCAGATGGCTACGATGGATCACCCTGGGAGCAACCCTTTTTTTTGTTTTGTTTTGAAAACTTCGGGACATGATATCTTTATCGTCTGGACTCCGAATCAAGTGATTCTTGAGTCTAACTCTATTAATTTTTCATCGTCTTTCCAATGGTGTGCTCGGTAACACCCACATTTATTTTGAAAAGACCATTTTACCCCTAGGGTTGTAGTTACCCGTTTTTAAAACTTCGCTTCCGCATTTGGTTTATTTGAGTTCCGGGACTACATGGGAAGTCATTGTGGCGTCTTAGGGATGATGTACATCTCTAAAGATTTTGTTTCTTTCTTTTGCTTCCACAAATTCGGATCCGTTATCGGGTCAAATTTTGGGTTGTTACTGACGCACCGGGTTTGTAAAACTTAGAGTGTAACATCGCATCCCTGAACTTCGAAGCAGAACTACCAGATATATGTGAAAAAGGTAATAGCCTTTTCATGAGTATTCAAGGGCCAAATTTTGAAGGAACCTCGTCATTGCCTAAAAAATAACCGGATAATTTGAATTTAAAGATGAATAATCTTAGGTTGTAGGGTGTGCTTAAAAAGCTTAGGACTAAACTTGCTTATTTCTTCCCTTCACAAGGCATTGATCCAAGTTTGCAACCCTATGAGGGAAACGAGTTATGCATTGGAAATGTGGAGACCGTCCTCTTGACGGATCCAATTTATGAGGACCAATGAGATTCCCATCTCGTTGAGCTATCGACATTAAACTTAGCCATTCTTAGGAAGCATTGAGCTTCCTTACTTCTTTATCTGCTTTTCTCTTCTTCTAATTTTTTTTTTTTCAAAAATACGTAAATTTGCCTAAATTTAGCATTTTCGTAAAAGTGCTCTAAATCTTATTTTGTTAGTCATACTAGGTGTCTCGGGCATCAAATAGGCTCTGGTGAAAAAATCAAAATTTTTCAGGATCGTTGCGGGCTCCAAAGTCCAAAAATAAAATTCCAGAAAATAGGAAAATTGGCGTCCGGATGCCCTTCCTTGCGTCCGGAAGCAAATCCACCTAGGCTCAAATTGTTGTTGTTTTTTTTTTTTTTTTTTTCCTGAATAACAAATTGTTTTAAAAAACACAAAAAAAAATTGGTGTTTTTTTTTTTTTTTTTTTTTTTTTTTTCAAAAATCCAAAATTTTGATTTTTTCCGAAACATGTCTGTTTTTTATTCCGACTGTTCTGAGGGGTGTCCCAGTGTTAGTACATCATGTCCAAGTGGTCCTGTGAATTATAGATCCTGTTTCAGCCCCCAAATGGCCAGAACGAAAAACAGTCCCCAGCCTATTTTGCGTTCGTATGCCCATTGCCATCATATGTGTCACGTCTAGAACGTTCGGATGCCCCACCTTGTGTCCGGATGCATTTGTCCAGACTTGGGGCCCATTCACTTATCTCTATATATTTTTCCCCCAATTCATTATATTTTCCCCCCAATTTTAAATTAACTCACAACCCATTTCTTGTAATGGGACCAATAAAATTTTGACGTCTACGCGAAGGGAACCCAGAAGATAATCAATGTAAGCTGAACTTTGTTACAAGCAAAATCTGAAGGAAATTATATATAATACTTTATATTACAAAAATAATAGCATAGTACATATTATTCAGTAGT